GTGAGACTCTGTCTCAAAAAAAAAAAAAAAAAAAACCCTCTGGAATCTTGTTTGGGGTTGTGTAAAATCTATATATCAATATGGGGAGAATTGATATCTTAATGATACTGTCTTTTCATCCATGAACATGATCTACCAGTCCATTTATTTAGGACTTCTTTAATTTTTCTTGATAATCCTTTATAGTTTTCAGTGTGCAGATCTGATACATATTTTGGTAATTTCCCCATAGTGTTTCATGTTTCTGTATGCTGTTGTAAGGAGAATTGTATTATCAAAGTATTTTTCCATTTGTTCATTGCTTGTATATAGAAATACTATTGAATTTTATTTATATTTGCATCTGTGTCATGAGGAATATTTAGCTGTAGTTGTGTTTATGGCTGGTTTTGGTATCAGTTATATTGGCCTTATAGAATGAGTTGGGACCTATTCCCTCTTCTCCTACTTTCCAAAAAAGTTTGTGTAAAATTAATATTATTTTTTTAGATATTTGGTGGAATTCACCAGTGAAATATCTGGGCCTAGAGTTTTTTGTAGGTATATGATTAATTACTAAATTCAGTTTCTTTAATAGATATAGCACTATTAACATTTTCTATTTAATCGTGTCAGATTTGGTCATTTGTGTCTCTTAAAGAATTGTTCCATTTCGTCTAAGTTGTTGAATTTATTGGCATAAAGTTTTTCCTAATCTGTCATTATTCCTGTAATATTCTTAGGGTTTGTAATGATGTACTCTCTTTCATTTTTGATATTGGTAATTTGTGTCTCTGTCTCTCTTTTATTTTCCTTTATTGATGTTTGCCAATTTTATTAATCTTTTAAAATAACCAGCTTTTGATTACAGTGATTTAAAAATTTTGTCCACATCTTATTTCATTGATTTCTACTCTTTTATTATTTCAGTGCTTCTAGTTACTTGGGCAGACAAATATCTATGAGAAGTCAAGGATGTCCTAATCTTTACCTTTAGACGGAAAATAGAACTCTTTCCTATAGTAATAGGTCTTCATTATCCTCTGTTTCTACCGTGTTTATCTTTGTCATTGCTGTTGTTGTATTGTATTCTAAATTATTACCTGTAATACCTTTCTCCCAAGACTGTAAGATCTTTGAAAGAAG